AGCAGTCACGATAGTGCAGCGAGACACCCCCCCCCCAGGTCCAAAACAGTCCAGTGGCACCTTTAAGACCAAGTTTTACTCAGGTACAAGCTCTCCCTCCTCTGCAAGGACAGATCTGCACATTCCCCACCCCCCAATAGCTAGCAATCCAAAACAGTCCAGTGGAGCCTGAGCGGTGGGTGTTGCCTTCTGGCACACTTCCGGTGATGTCAGGGGGTGTGGCCTATCATGCTAATAAGTTATGCTAATGAGCTCCTGCACCTCTTTTTCTACAAAATGACCCCTGGAGCTAGCTCACACTAACTCGGCAGAGGGAACACTGGACGACAGTACCTACAAGATGACCGGTTTGAAATAAACCTGCCCAGTCTTTAATACCATCTTCGGAGTTCCTTTTTAGAGTGACCCTGAGAGCCACGAGAGCTAAGCCCTGAGGTGACCCTTCCTGCCCTCCCTCTCATGATCTGCCCAAGTTCATAGAATCCGCATGGCTGTCAGATGGCCATCTGGCCTCTGTCTGAAAACCTCCAAAGAAAGAGGAGGGACCTTAACAGGATTGACTTGAAGCACAACAGCCCGGATGTCTATAGATAAACAGACTATTGCTACAAACGTGGGGCAGGAAATTTTCCACACGAAAATTTTCCACTCTGCCCAGCCTCACTGGAACGAAGCCACCAACCTTTATCTGGGGATATATCTGTCGAATCATGGAAATATTTAACGCATTCAGAGCCTTCGGCCTGTTCAAGGTTATAACACCAGCACAGCCTCTTCTCTCGAGCAGGACTTCGGCTGAAGAATCGGCAGACGTGGACATTTTCTGCACAGACGGAGAAAAATAAATAAATACACGAGAGGAACCAGGCGCTGCCTGACATCAGCGACCACCACACATAAAAGACCTTCTCTGCTCTCTAATAGGTACCTTTGTATCCTGAGTTCCTTCTTTACAACACCCTTCCCACCTCCTGACTGGCATACAGACTCAGAGAGCTCCATTCCGGCGCGTATTTGGCTCTTGAAAACTTATACCCTCAAAATCCTGTTGGTCTCTAAAATGCCGCTGGACTCGAATCTAACTAAGAGAAGTTGACAAGCCACGCAGAAGGGTCCCACCAGAATGCACGTGATACCTGTCACGGTGTGTGTTCTAACCTGCTCGTGGTTCACAGCAAGGCTATATTGCTATTTTACACAAGAGGAGGAGAAGGAGGACGAGAAGATTGGATTTATACCCCGTCCTTCACTTGAAGTATCAGAGCGGCTTACAAACTCCTTTCCCTTCCCCTCCCCACAACGGACACCCTGTGAAGTAGGTTGGGCTGAGAGAGCTCTGACAGAAACTGCTCTTTTCTTTTTCAAAAACTTTTATTTTGGATTAACATGTTCAACATTTAACAATCAACCGTCAAATCCATTTCTTTTAACTCCTCCCCCCCCTTTTGGTGGCTTCCCACAATGCTTCCCCCTTCCCACAAACAGTTTCACATTTCAAGGTAACATTTTTGCTTACAACTCAAATATTTCTACATTTCGACTCTAATAATTGTCTAAATACAATATAGTATTTTTAACATCCCAATTTCTTTCTAAATATTCTTTAAAATCTTTCCATTCTTGACAGAAACTGCTCTTGACAGAATAGCTCTGAGAGAACTTGTGATTGGCCCAAGGTCACGGCAGCAATTTAGGCACGGCAGCAATTTAGGCCTAGCAAGTACTTACTGCGAATCGGCGGGGGACATATAGTTCTTGGCGGGAACATTCCCGCGGGGAAAACACAGGCGCTGCACTATCCTGTCGCCCAGACGTGACGTGGCCATGTAGCCGGGCGACGCTCTGGCAATGGGGCTGAAAACATGATGGTACCATCGAGTTTCCTGCCCCATTGCCAGAGCGTCGCCCGGTTACGTGCCCAGCATGCTTATGTCACATCTGGGCGACAGGATAGTGCGACGCGGCCGTGTTACATGCAAGAATGTTCCGGCAGGGAAGCATGTGTCCCCTGCCGATTTGTAAGTAGGTCCTTGGTGACCCTACAGCAGCTGCGTGTGGAGGAGGAGTGGGGAATCAAACCCAGTTCTCCCAGATTAGAGTCCCCGCACTTAACCACTGCCCCAAACTGGCTCTCACATATGAAATTATTCCCCGTTGTGGTCAGAACCCACAAAGCTACTTCGACTCCTGCACTAGACTTACCAACCCGCTAGTGGGCCTTGAGATCTCCTGGCATTACAATCAGGGTTGCTAGTTCCGGGTTGGGAGATTTGGGGGGTGGACCCTACGGAGAGCGGGGTTTGGGGAAGGAAGGGCCCTCAACAGGGTACAGTGCCACAGAGTCCACCCACCAAAGCAGCCATTTTAGTCTCCCGGGGGGACTAATCTCTTTAAGTCTGAAGATCAGATGTTAATTCTTGGAGCTCTCCAGATCTCACCTCTCCAAACTGCAGAGATCAGCCCCCTTGGCAAAAGTTGCCTCTCTGGAGGGAAGGACTCTATGGCTTTATACCCCACTGAGGCCCCTCCCCTCCCCAAAGCCCCCC